GCTGTGGCTCAAGTGGTAGAGTGCTAGCCTTGAACTGAAGAGCTGAGGGACAGCACCCAGGCCCAGAGTTCAAACCCCATGACTGACAAAAAAAAAAAAAGGTGGGTGCCAGTAGCTTATGCTTATAATCCTAGCTATTTCAGGAGACTGAGATCTGAAGATCATGGTTCAAAGCCAGCCCAGGCAAGAAAAGCCATGAGATTCTAATCTCTAATTAATTACTAAAAAGCCTGAAGTGGAGCTTTGGCTCAAGCAGTAGAGAGCACTAGCTTTGAGCAAAACAGCTCAGAGACAGCACCAAGGCTGAGATCAAGCCCCAGGACTAGCACAATAAATACATTAATTGAAAAAAATAAAGCTATGCTTGGTGACACACACTTGTAATCCCAATACTAGGGAGGTGGCCACAGGAAGATTTCAAGTTTAAGGCAAACCTGGGTTCTATAATTCCAGGCCATCCTATATATCACAGCATGTCCTATACCATAAAAAAAAAAGAAAAAGAAAACATAAAATCAAGCTTAATAAACTGGACTAATAATAAATGAATTCTTGGTTTCCCTGTAAAATATCTCATTCTTTACTTAGCAATGTTATAAAACAGGATAGTGAATGAAAGCCTAGCGTATGAAACAGAACACACAGACTGAGGCCTGACATCTACCACTTACAAACCAGCTGCTTCTTTCTGCCTATTTCCTCCTGCATGAAATTAAGATAATACACACAATTAATAGAATTAATCAAATAGAATATCTGACACAAAGTAAACACTGAAGAAAACAACCAACTCTACCAATGACTAAATAATCATGAGAGCACAATGTCTCCTCACTCTCCCCTTCTGATAATAAAGGTAAATTAGTTCAGAAATTAAAGCAGATAGGGTTATTTTCCAGTTGTTAGGAAAAGCTAGATTACCACTTTCCTCCCAAAAATCACCTCAGTCCAGGCACTGGTAGTGCATGCCTGTAATCCTCGCTACTGTGGAAATGGAGATTTGAGACAGCCCAGACAGAAAAATCCATGAGATTCTTATCTCCGGTGAACCAGCAAAAAGCCCAAAGTTTAGGTGTGGTTTGAGTGGTACAATGCCAGCATTGAGCAAAAGAGCAAAGCAAGAGTGTAAGAGCCTGGGTTCAAATCCCAGTACACACACACACACACACACACACACACTCTCTCTCTCTCTCTCTCTCTGAGGTGGATTTTCCTCTAAGCCCCATGGGTTCCCACAGCCTCTGCCTAGAGAAGCGACTCTCTCTCTCTCCCTCCCCCCCCCCAAACAACAAAGTCATCTCAGAATTAAGGGCACAAGAAGAAACTAAGCTAGGAGCATAACTCTGTGATAGAGCACTCACCGTGTGTGAGGCCCCCGTTTGATCCCTAGCACTGCAACATAATAACTTCAAAAGGGAAAAAATTAAATACAGAGAATTTCAAATCATACATGTAGGGGGAAAAACAGCAGTGAGGACTTAAAATTATGAGAAAATAGTAAAGTATTGTAAGAAAATAGTAAAATTTTCAAGGGCAAAATACATTAGAATAGAGTACACTCTCATAGCACACCCTAGATCCACTAACGAAACAGGAAAAGCATGTTCTTCATGTAAGTTTACTTATTTTAACAATAGCTCATTATGAATATGATAAAGACTTAAAAAATTCTGAGTATTCTTGAAAATTTCAACCAGAACAACAATCCAGGCACGAGTGGCTTATGTCTGTAACCCTAGCTACTCAGGAGGCTGAGATTTGAGGATTGGAGTTCAAAGCCAGCCAAGGCAGAAAAGTCCTCATAAGACACTTATCTCCAATTAACTACCAGAAAACTGGAAGTCACATTGTGGCTCAAAGTGGTAGAGGGCTAGTCTTGTATAAAAGAGTTCAGGAACAGCACCCAGACTCTCAATTCAAGCCCACAACCACCACAACAACAAAAGAAAAAGAACAACTAATGGATCTGGATATGGTTTTCTAAATACCCGATTTTATGTTTAGTTTTGTGACAAAAGAAAACTCAGTGTTACATTCTCTTATGTACATACATACATACCTAACTACATACATACATACACAAAATAAAAACTAGATATTTCTTACCTCATGACCTTTACCTTTGAATTTTGTTTTATCAAATACATGTCTTAAGGCTGGAAGACCTCTCTCTGAAATTAATCTGTAAATAAACATATATTTTGCCTTTTTAAGCTTTCCAGTCATGTCGAAACCAAGACCGTAAGAAAACATTTTCCTTTGAACTGAAAAAAAAAATTTACAAAAATATCAGCTCTTGGTCTGGTAATATGGCTTAGTGGTTGGTACAGTGCTTGCCTAGCATGCATAAAGCTCTGGGTTCGATTCCTCAGTATCATATAAACAGAAAAAGCAGAAGTAGTACAGTGGCTCAAATGATAGATTGCTAGTTTTTAGCAAAAAGTAGCTCAGGAACAGTGCCCAGGCCCTGAGTTCAAGCACCATGACTGGCAAAAAAAAAAGTATCAGATCTCATGCTAGGCACTGGGGGCTTACACCCAGTGAGATTGGGAGGAAGGATCTTATCAGCGATTGGGAGGATCACAGTTAAAGGAAAGGGGTTAGAGAGGTTAGGGAGTTTGTGGAGCTGGGAAGGTGGCTCAGTGGTAGAGTGTTTGCCTTGCATGCATAAGGCCCTGGGTTCAATTCCTCAGCATCACATAAGTAGAAAAAGCCAGAAGTGGCACTGTGGCTCAAGTGGTAGAGCACTAGCCTTGAGCTGAAGAGCTGAAGGACAGCACACAGGCCCATAGTTCAGGCCCCACGACCGACCAAAAAAAAAAAAAAAAAGAGAGGGAGGTTAGGGAGTTTGTAAAACCCCATCTCAAACAATGAGATAGGCATGGTGTACTTGACTGTCATCCTAGCTACTAAGGAGACTGAGAACACAAAGACTGAAACTCAAGGCCAGTCTGACCAAAAAAACCCGCCAGAAAACAGCTCAACACTTAATGCTGGGCATGGTAATGCATGCCTGGTCACCCCTGCTAAGAAGTGAAGTGTAGGGCTGGGAATGATGTGACTCAGTGGTCGAGTGATTGCCTAGCATGCATGAAGCCCTGGGTTCAATTCCTCAGTACCACATAAACAGCAAAAGCCAGAAGTGATGCTGTGGCTCAAGTGGTAGAGTGCTAGCCTTGAGCACAGACAGACTCAAGGACAGTGCCCAGACCCTGAGTTCAAGCTCCAGGAGGGGGAGAGGAGGTGTTAGAAAAGGAGGAGGAGGAGGACCAGGACCAGGACCAGGACCAGGACGAAGAGAAGAGAGGGAGAAGAGGAGGAAGAAGAAGAAGGGGGGGGAGAGATAGGGGAAGGGGGAGGGGGGAAGAAGAGAAGTGTACATGGAAAGACCCTTGTCCAGGCCAGCACATGCAAAAAAAAAAAAAAACAAGACTGTATCTCAAAAGCAAAAAGGGATATGACTCAAGTGTAAAATGCTTGCTCAGCAAGTTTGAAGTTCTCGGTTAAACTCCAAACTGCTAAAAAAAAAATTAAATAGCCCCCCAAATCATCCAAATCCAAAGCTTCTAGCATAAGAAGAAAGCAATGATGGAAAGAAAAAGTATAAATGTAGAAGAAGCAGTAAATGTACATACCTCTGAGCATCCAACTTGGGTAGCTTCCTTTTAACTATTCTCTTTGGGGGAACAGGTACTCTTCTCCCTGACTCTAGTGAAACAGATCAAGAGTTAGTCCTAAATAACGTAAGCCTTACTTATAAAATGTATTGTTTCTGGTGGCTGTGGTAGAGGCAGAGCTCAGAGGTAGAGCGCTTGCCTTGCATGCATGAGGCCCTGGGTTCGATGCCTCAGCACCACATAAGCAAAAAGAAAAAAGCCAGAAGTGGCGCTGTGGCTCAAGTGGTAGAGCGCTAGCCTTGAGCTGAAGAGCTGAGGGACAGCGCCCAGGCCCAGAGTTCAGGCCCCACAACAGGACCCAAATAAAATAATGTATTGTTTCTATGCTGACAGAATTAAATATGGTACATGTCTATAATCCCAGCCCTCAGGATGCTGAAGCAGGACAGTCCTAGATATAAGGCCAACTTGGGCTGCAGAGCGGAATTATCTCAAAAAATAACAAATAATAAGTACTCCTTGGGAGCTGGGAGCTGGTGGCTCACATCTATCAGCTTAGCTATTCAGGAGGCTGAGATCTGAGGATTGTAGTTCAAAGCCAGCCTGGGCAGGAAAGTCTGAGGCTTTCCTTTATCTCCAATTAACAACCAAAAAAACCAGCTGAAAGTGGAGCTGTGGCTTAAGTGGTAGAGAACAAGCCTCTAGCAAAAGGTTAGGGACAACACCCAGGCCCTGAGTTCAAACCCCAGTACCATGATACATATACATACAGAACTATGGGACAAATCTCCATGCTGACCTTCATCAGGCTCAGCTTCTGCACCATCTCTCTCTGGAGAAGCTGGAGGTGGGAAAGGAGGAAAAGTTTCATCTTCAACGTGTTCATAATCTGGAAGATCCACCAAGCCATTTTCTTGTGGTTCTACCATCTTTTCCCCTAGAGAAAAAAAAAATGCCATTATGTTTATTCACCCGATTACAATCCTATTACAATCAAATTCCATCTATAGCAAAGATTCATGCTTCATCCTAAAAAGCAGGGAAGTAAAATTATAGAGGAAAAAGACTAGGCTGAAAGCCAAACTTAACTGTAATGTGGATCTCGCCACTAAGTAATATAATTTTTGAACAAATCATTTTATATCAATTACTGAGTTCCCTTGATCATAAAAGGATTCACTTGATTTTTAGATTTTAAACTGGGATCCAAAATGATGTGAAGTGAGCAAGACATGGATCATTTACCCCTAACTAGCTTTTTTCCCTTCTTTTTTCTTTCAGGACTATGGATCAAGTATGGGAGACAAGTAAGTCCTACCACTGAGTTAATCTCCAACCTTAAAGGGCCTAGTGCTCTGTTCATTGTTTCCCTTGAAGAACAGAACATTATCCTCTGACTGAAAACACAAGTGTTTTTCAGTATCATCTTGTTTGACCTCTCAGCAACACCTGACACTTTAACCTTTTAACCTCTTGAACCTTCTTCTTTATATTGTAATCACCTCATAAAACAATATTTCATGTTCTCACTGTTTTTTTGCTCATGGCTAGTGCTTTGAACACTTGAGTCATAGCTTCAATCCAGCATTTTGCTGGCTAATCAGAGATAAGAGTCTCAAAGATGTTTCTAATTATGCTGGTTTTGAACCAAGATTTCATCTCTCAGCCTCCATAGTAGCTAGGATTACAGGCATGAGCCATAGGCAACTGGCCTTCCCATCTACTTTTGCCTCTTTCAATCTTGCAAATATAAAGCTGACCACATTAAAATTTAGCTGAAGTATTTTGTGACTTCTGGCTTTTAGGGACAAAGATAAAGCCCCAAAGCCGGGCGCCAGTGGCTCACACCTGTAAAACTAGCTATTCAGAAGGCTGAGATCTGAGGATCGAGGTTCAAAGACAGCCTGGGTAGGAAAGTCCGTGAGACTATTATCTCCAATTAGCCACAGAAAACTGGGAGTAGAGCTGTGGCTCAAGTGG